TCGAGGAGAGAATAAGGGTAATCTGGGTGATTGTACAGGTAGCCAACGTCTTCAAGTGGGGTATTTCGGCGTCTCGGCAGAAGGTCTAACTTGTACAAGAGAAACTCGTCTGTTTGGAAAGAGTTTCGTCAATAAACGTGATAAAAGTCTTGGAAAATTTGTCTAATAGGACTACGTTTCACATCCCCACCCCCCCCCCCTCCGATTTAATCAGGGTTTTCACCACCTTGGTCGCAGGGTCATTATTTACTGCTGTATGCCCTACCACCTCACACACGTCTCCGAGGCTCGCAGTGAATGTTTTATGTCTAAAAGACGTGTAAAGTAAACTTTAGAAAGACAGAATAGAGGTCTCACAGTAGAGCCCTATACCCCTGTGTAAAATGCATGATCTGTTGGTATTTTGAAAAATAAAAAGTATAAATATGCCTTATATAGGTATGGTCCTACACTATATTATTCAAATATAGCATGATAGGTCCACTTTAAGGTGTTTCTTCATCTAAAAATGAATAGAAAGTTGCATATATTGCACAAAATATTGTACTCAAATATTTTTATACAATTCATTTGATTTATTTATAGTAATTGAGAATAATGTTTTCGACACGTTACAGTAATATGGTTAGAAAAACATGTCCTTTCACTTTCCAACCTCGGTGTCGGATTAGTTCAGTTGTGTCCAAGTTTATAAATCCTGCACAACATGGTAAATCGCAGATGTAGAAATATCTAGATATGCTTTTAGAAATGTATCCACGGAAAGTTGTAGGTTCCCCGAGGTCGACTCGTTACACCCTTCTCCATCGCATCATAACGACGTCGCCCAGTGGCGAACCTTGTCTATCACAACTGAACCTTCTGTAGACACACACAACCCCCCCCCCGCCGTTATAATGTCCGTTGAAAAGGGTACCGACATCATCTTCACCTGTTGCCATTTCAACATTAAAAACGACGTGTCTCTCCAGTGAACGAGTGGGCCTTCTAGAGCACCTGGAACCGAAGGAAACTCTGAAAGAACACGCCCATTGGCTACAAATCTATATCTGATTGGTTGATCAAACTGTCAGTCCAAACGCTCTCATCCAGTGTGAGGGCCAGGGCATCAAGGATGTAGAATACCTGGTTGAAGGATATTCTACCCAGAGACCCAGAACAAGATCTGATTGGTTGCTTTCTTTTCTAACACAAAACCACTGAAACGCGTAGTGCATGGTCCGAGAAGGACAAACACATCAACGTGACACTGATATTACAGATCACTGACACAGATACCATTCTCTGTTATTCATTTGATTTTAAATTAAATCGATGTGTTGTTTGTTTTATCTGAGTGTTCCAGGGTGTTCTCTGAATACCTTGAAGGCCCTGACGGTTCGCCTCTGACGTGGCCCAGTTTCAGTGCAAAGCAGAAACCACATTGTAATACTAACGAAGGAACGCCGTCACGCATGACAATAACGCCTTGAATCTTGAATAATGTGGGACTGCTCTTCCTCTCCGTGGACTCTAAGCTCCGCCTCTCTTTGTGAAGAAGACACGTTATGATAAAGTCAGCTTTAATATTTTGCCATTTCCTCTTTTATCACCCGCCATGATTGATCACGGGCTTCTGGCTCCGAGCCGTCTGTCATCGAGGTTCAGCGGAGTCCGTTAGATGGGGGGGGGGGCTATTCAGGCCTATTCTTCTTCTGTGGTGTTCCCTCTCCTGTAGTGTGTTCTTTAGTGCATGTAAATGGTCTGCTGAGGCTGGAATCTCTCCCACACAAAGAGAGCTATTTGTTGGTATTTCAGTGAAAATGAAGTCATCTTTATCTCATGATTTTTTCAAAAGATCAACGAATAGAAGTTGAAAACAAACACGAATGATTTTTTTTTATTTGCTCGACATTTGTTGGCATTATTACTGTCAGTGATCTCAGGCTCTGCAAACGGCACAATCCTCCTTCATGATTCAAACCGTCTGTGTTAGCTTCTAACATTTCATTTTCATGCAATCGTAAACTCTAATTCTACGGAAGAAGATAAGGGCGACATGTGAAAAAAAATTTTTAGAGCTAATCAGACATTTATTTTAGCAGAACTTTGAGATTTTCCGTGAAAAATAATAGAAATCTTTTTTTCTAGAAATTCTAACTTCTGAAAATTATTTAAGAAAACATTTGTTATGATAAAAAAAGTTATAATTCTCACTTTCTGGGGGAAAACATTGAATATGTTTTATCTCAAATTTCTGACTTTTTTTCTGGGAATTTTTTTGATTTTCCGTTAAATTCAGAGATATTTTTTTAATGAGTTTCCATTAAAAAAAATCCCAATTGCTTTTTCTTCAGAATTCTGAGAAAAAAAGACAGACTTTGGAGAAATGTTCTTTTTTAATTTTGGGGAAAATTTAAGAAAAAAAAAAGATATTTACCTCAAAATTCTGACTCATCTCAGATATCACAAAAAATGTCACTTTGGTCAGATCTCAACAAATTGTCCACATTTGGCCCTAATCCTCTTCCGTACATTTCCCATTGATCTCAACACTAACCTCCAGCTGCACTAACAGCCAACAGACCGACTGAAGCTCATATTTCATTCTCCTTTTTCTCCTCTTATCCAGGTCCGGCAGCAAAGAAGAAATACGTGAGCTACAACGACCACGAGATCTGAAGCCATCGAGCGAGAGACTGAGAAACTAAGAACCAGGAAGAAGAGTATGTTCCCGCCCTGCCGGCTGAAAACAAGGAAAGGGAGGAGAAGGAAAAGCAGGAGGGTTTATGTTGTTGTTTATTTTTCTGGTATCATGTGCTTCATTGCCCACCGCGGACTTCCAGGAGCTGAAGCAAAGCCTGCTGGGACTTTCCTCTGGACTGGAGCACATTTACAAAGAGAGGCGAGCGAGCGGTTTGTTGTCGAAGGTAAAAAATAAATCATTGTGTCCGTGATGCAGAGAAGGAACATGGCGGACGCCTTCTCTCCGCCGTTGATGTCAAACGAAGCCTCCTCTCGTCCTCAAACCGACTTCCTGTCCTCCCGAGTGTGGCTCTTATATGTTCCTTTTGGTTGTTGCTTTACTTTCCTCTTTACGGTTTCTTTCAAGGCGATGATGGTTTCCACGTTGTTGATGAGTCTATTTTTGCTCTCTGCTTCTTGGATGCACATTGTTGTTTTATTGAAGCCATATTCTCTGCTTTGAGATTTCGAGGGCTTTGTCGCGCTACCAACAGGAATCTGATTTCTGCCACTGAAACGTCTCTGAAAGGCCCTGAAAACAGGATTCATAGTCTGCTTAATACTGCGACTAGCACACAAATACAACTCTGATTAGCACAAGGGTTTTCCAAAGATCTCTGCAAACCATTTCTGTTTAAAGTCCGTAAGAATTGACGTTGAAACATGGATGAAATTAAACCTTTCTTACTGCTATTTGGGGACATCTGTCAACAACACTATTTGTACAATGATGTCTATAGTCAGCAGTGTTGTGCTAGTTACTGAAAACCAGTAACTAGTTACCATTACTAGTTACTTCATTTCAAAAGTAACTCAGTTACTTTACTGATTACTTAAGTAACGCGTTAAAACCCAGCAGCTGTTGCTCAGGTGGAGGTGGAGGTGGAGTGGCGTGGGATGAGTCTGGGTCTGTGGTCTTAGCTGCTAGCTTCGTCCCAGCATGTTGTTTCTGCAGATGTTTCAACAGATCTGAATTGCTGTTTTGGGCAGTAGATAGGATCTTTGACCCGCCAAGACACAACTTACATTTAACTAAAACCTTCTTTTCTTTGTGCTCGACAAAAGTGAAATAGTGAGAATATCTCCAGGCGGAAAAACTCGACTTGAGCTCCGCCTCCGATAATCTTGTTAGTAAACACAAACACGCCCACAGCGTCTCCGCATGTGACACAGGAAGTATCTAAGTACATTCACTCAAGTACTTAAGTACAGTACTCATCTCTGTTCGCCTCGCTGGGCGCCGCTCACCAACGTCTGAGAGCCGAGACTATATAAAAAAAATAACGGAGTAACGCACCACGTAGTAACGGGAACTGAGTTACTGAATTAAAAAAATAACGCGTTAGAGTACTAGTTACTGCCAAAGATAACGGCGTTACAGTAACGCGTTAGTCCCAACACTGATTAAGAGTGATATTTAATTATTGTTGTGACCAGTCTGAACCTGATACTTCAGTTGCACGTGCGTTGGTGTGATTACGGAGCCAGAAAGCCATGCACGTTTACTCACGTGCGCCGTGTTTGTTTTACAAAAAATGGCGAAGCAAATGAAGTTGTTTGACTGTGGGGTAAAAAGTTCAGCCAACCCGTCAACATCTCAAAACGAAGGATCAAAGACTTCAATGCTGAAGGGCCAGTGGATCTATGGTGGGGGTCAGCGCAAAGGTCAAGAGAACCCACATTTGAAAGGGAGACAGCTGCTCTACTGGTGTTTAGTATACCAGCCATTGAGGGTGGACACGTTTCCTACCACTCAGGTTTGAATTCATTGTGTTAATTACTTATTGTAAAGCATTTGAACATTCTTCTGCGTCAAATTTTGATTATTAAGTTGATGTATAACTCTATAGTATCTTCATTATTTAAATATAAGGTTTCTAAAAATGGCAACCATATTTTCAGTTTTGGCAACCAAAACATTCGCGATACACTGACTCAGGTACTCATTTGAGTACCTCACTGAGAAAGTTGTGTGCACCCCTGCATATAATCCCGTAGTTAGGCATATTTAGCGCTGATAGATTGACTACTAAGATGGGCTTTTTAAAAGGGACTAGTTTGTGAGTGGTGGTATTTGCTGATTTGAATCCTAAACTATGATTGAGTCTGGTCCGGAGCAGTTTATGTCTCCATGGTGATCTAGCCAGGTTAAAAGATAGCCACCTCCTTAGTACGGAAAACTCTTTAGGCTCAACATAGTTGATAACCCCTCATCTGGTTTCGTAGTCACCCCTCTGGTGTGTGTGTGTTCAGGTAATGACTTCCTGTTTGTCTCCAGGTGATGACCCCCCAGGGCAGAGGGACGGTTGCCGCGGCAGCAGCAGGAGCCAGTATCGCCGGAGCCCCGACACAGTATCCACCTGGACGAGGAGCCCCGCCCCCGATGGGCCGAGGAGCCCCGCCCCCAGGTGATCAATACTCGCTGAGCACAGGGTCACCTGAAGAGAAACCACTTCAGAACCCCTCCACCTGTAGCGGGGAAATGTACATTATTATTAACAAACATTTTTAAAGTGACATCCCATAATAACAGCCGTCTCCGGTCCCCAGGTATGATGGGCCCGCCCCCTGGCATGAGGCCTCCGATGGGCCCTCCAATGGGGATGCCCCCTGGTCGAGGAGCTCCAATGGGAATGCCCCCCCCTGGCATGAGGCCGCCTCCTCCCGGCATGAGAGGTAAGCTGTGAGACCATGGAGATGCCTTACAGCAGCCAATCAGATGGGAGCGCCATTAATAGCTCCGCCCTCCCCAGCTGACTGACTGTTAAACACCTGAACTTTTGAAAGGACATCCATAACATTCATCTGTTTGCAACTTATCAATGTTCCAATTACTTGTAGACTATTCTGCACTATTAATATTATTTTATATTTACTTGCACTATTGTCTGTTTTATTGTGTTGCTATGTGGGAGGAGCCTGTGAAATAAGATTTGTATTGATATAACTACACTAGCTATGTACAAATGACAATAAAAGCCTTGAATGAGCTGTAGGCCAATCAGATCTCCCGTTTCCTGACGCTGAGGGGAATTAACGACATCTTTAATTATCCGTATGAAATGTTGTGTTTTATGTGTGAATGTGAAGCATTAACGGACCTTTCCTTCTGTTGTAGGACCTCCCCCACCTGGGATGAGACCGCCTCCCAGACCCTGAAGCCCCGCCCCCCCAGAGTCACCTGTTGTATAGGTTTTTCTTTTTTTAATGTTTTGTGTTTTTTAAATAAAGTTCTTCAGGATGGTTTGAATTTCTGCCTGGCTATCAGTTACTATATCAACCTGGAAGACGAATATGTACCTGTATCACATGACTCAGCAGGAGAGGACTCTTTAAAGTAGAGACACTACATACTGATATACACCTGAACATCAGCAGGAGAGGACTCTTTAAAGTAGAGACACTACATACTGATATACACCTGAACATCA